TGGTGGGGCATTTGGTGGGGCAAATTGGTGGGGGGGGGGGGGTAATTGGGTGAATTGGTGGGGAAGGTCGGTGGAGCGGGTGGTGGGGAAAATCGGTGGGGCAGATAGTGGGGTGAATTGATGGGTTTTCCCGACTTTTATCGACGCGTGGAGGAAATTCCTTAGTTCGTAGGGAAGGGGAAGGTCGGAACAAATTGTGATTCATTCATTTCCTTCGATTTAATTGATACAAAAACGTTCTCGCTATTGTAAGGTTTTCCAGCGAAACCAGAAGCGGACACGCATGGTGTCGCACCTGTCTCCGATTCCGATATTTCTTCGCGGAACATCTTTGTACAGGGGCCCGGCGGGGGGGCCGAGAAAAAAATCGCCCGCGTGAGATATATATAATAAATATCGTACGGGAGGGTGTTTCATGCTCGACTGAGCCTCGTGGGCATGGCGAATCCGAGCCTCTCGCTCCCGTCTTTGTCCCCATCTACGTGCATCATGATAGATGGGGACGAGAGGCTCCGCCGTCATACACATGTCTCTCGTGTCATGCTAATTCCTCTTTTTTTGCGAGGGCTGTACAGGTTTTTGCGGGGTAATTGCCTGTCGAGGCCGAGATTTATTAGGGAGATCGTTCTCGTTATCGCGGATTGTTACTCGCACGGAGTCAAGGAGCCTCGAGGACGAGCCTCGAGGACGAACCTCGAGGGAAAAGCGAAAGTCACGAAGCTTCAGCGTTGAAAATGGGGCTAAAAACCGCAGATGGTCAGAGGGGAAAATCGTTTCCCATTGTCTCCTGCAATTGAAGTATATCTGCTTAGGTAGCACTGCTTAAGTTCACCTAAGCGAAGCCATCTCCGTCGTCTCACGCAAGAGGAAGCTTTGCTTGGATGAATCCTTCCACGATGAACACTCGAAGGGGGTTCTCATTTAACACCCTAAGGGGATTCTCATTTAACACACAATGGCAGGGAGGAGGCTCATCTTGCTGCGAGAGGAACGTGTTGCGTGTTGTTTCACGTTACGTGTCAATTAAATAATTATGTGTTTATTCCTTTTCATCATGCTTTTACTGACATCACCGTGTAATTCGCCTGGAACCACTCTCTTGAATTACAATTTTTATCAAATAATTTCCCACTACCGTATTCTTGCTTCGACACCCGACCTTTCCAGTCTATTCCTCCATAAATAGCCTCTCCATAAATAGCCGCTCTATTTTTTCTATTTTTTTTTTCGGCTCGGACAGCCCCCAGCTGCGACCGGGCGTGGATGTTCGAGCGCGTGGTCGGCTTCGAGTTGGACGGCTTCGACGACATGGTGATCAACAAGGTGCCGACGAAGACGAGGTGCCAGGAGCTGTGCGTCAAGGAGAAGGGGATCCAGTGTCGGTCGGCCGAGTACGACTACGAGATGCAGCAGTGTCGGCTGAGTCGGGAGGATCGGCGGACCCAGCCCCAGTCCTTCAAACCGTCGGTCAAGCAGGTCGACTACCTCGAAAACCAATGCGCCGGACGTAAGTTCCTCGGAGACGACCGAAACCGGACGCGACCGACCCCCTGTCGACACCGACCCCCTGTGTTACAGATCCCTCGAGCTACAAGTGCGACTACGAGGCGAACGAGTCGACCGACCTGGGCCGCGGCGACCTCCAGGTGAGCAGCCCCAGCGAGGCCCAATGCCGGAAGCTCTGCGACGACACCAGCGTCTTCAACTGCCGCTCCTTCACCTACTTCCCCGCGACCTCCATGTGTCGACTCTCGGGGGACGACATCGTCTCCGCGGGGCAGCAGAGCCTCACCGCGACCCCGGGGGCCGTCTTCTACCAGAAGGCCCCCTGCCTCGACCGTCAGTCCCGATCTCTTTCGCTCCCCGTGTCTAAATAGTCTCTAAGTGGTCTATTCAAAATACCTCGTAGCTAAGTCTAAATAGCCTTCTTCAAATAGCCTGCTGTCGAAATAGTCTTCTCAATCTGAAGAGCCTACTTCAAGTAGCCTTCTCGGTCTGAAGAGCCTACTTCAAATAGCCTTCTCTGTCTGAATAGCCTATTCCAGTACTACAGCCGACTTCTCATCTGCCTCGCTCGTTTGTTCCTGTCGACTTGGGTCTATTCACCCTGTCTCGTTCGATCCCGCAGACGATCTACCTAGACAAATCTACCAGTGCATGCTCCTTGCGTAGACCTGCTGTAGATTCTCCCTCTCTCTCTCTCTCTCTCTCTCTCTCTCTTTCTCTCTCTCTTTCTCTTTCTCTTTCGCTCTCTCGCTTTCTCACTCTCTCTTTTTTTTCTCTCGTTCTACTCTTTTGAATGTTCTTTGGCGATGGAAGGCTGCGCCGTGTCAGTGCTCCCTCTCTCTCGCTACAAAACGAATGCAGAATAAAAAAGAGTACGTCTATGAGGGGACTACAAAGAGGGCCTGAAGCTCACTTTAAATTATATCCATAATCACATCCCCATTGCAGACTGACTCAGCACTCTGCGCTGAAAAGACTGCAGAAGCACTGACAAAAGGGAGCTTCCCACTTGCGAGGGGGATCCTCGAGTGAGCTATCCATAGGGCCCTCGAGTGAACTATCCATTGGGCCCTCGAGTGAGCTATCCATAGGGATCTGAGATATCCGTGGGCGTCCGAGATATTCGCTCGAGATCGATGCCCCGTGCTGGAGGAATTAAAAAAAAATCTCTCTCTCGGGTGGAATTGTGATCGAAATTTGACAAGTTTTGCCCAAAATTGGACTCATTTCGCGGGGCAATTACGCGGGGTGCGTGACAGTCCGTTTCCCACATCGATCAAAACGCGGACGATCGCGGAGCCTCTCGCTCGGAAACGTTCCCCAAGACGTTTCATGTTGTTTCATTTTTGTTGTTGAAAATTAATTGGCCCGGACCGCGGTTCTGCGGGGGACGGGGACCCGAAATCGGCGCCCGGGAGCCAAAATCGGCACTCTGGACGCGAAATCGGCACCCGGGGACCCGAAATCGGCCTCGACCGTCAGCTGCGGACGTGGGAATCGCTTCCTTCCGGAAAAGGGACAAGGCGGAGGAATTGCCTGGATGACGCGATAATCGGCTCGCCGTTAGAAGCGCTAATCGTCTCGCTCGGCTGAGCCGATATTTCTTCATCCCGTTCTGCCGATTCAATTTTTGAGGGGAAATAGTCTCGAGTCGTGACTCATGTCCGATTAGACGCTTCGCAAAAAAAAATTGTCGTAATTGCCTCAGACAGCAATTTCTTTTCTCGTATTTCGTCTTAAATGCTATAACGGTTGCTGTTTATTTTTTTTATGGATTTATTTTTAATAACTATACTCTTTGGACGCATTTTCCTCGCCTCCGACAGAGTACAGTACAAATACGGTATTTATGGTATTATTTATTATAGTGTTTTATAAGTATTTTATTCGTATTTCGTGGCTGCAGTGGGTCTGTCGTGCACGGCGACGGCGATGACGGTCCAGCTGCACACGTCGACCCCGTTCGAGGGCCGGATGTACGCCCAAGACGCGCCCGGCGTGTGCGAGGTGTTCGGCACCGGAAAGACCCGCACCGAGATCTCCTTCGGCCTGCGCAACAGCCGCTGCGGCGTGGTCACCGAGGGCGACGCCCTCTTCTCCCAGGTCATCATCATCCAGCACCACCAGGTCATCCAGCGCAAGGGCGACAAGGCCGTGAAGCTCTATTGCCTCTTCGAGACCTCCAACAAGACGGTCACCTCCAGCCTCAATCTCTCGACTGAGTAGGTTGCCCCGAGAGGGTTGCCCCCGAGAGGGTTGCCCCCGGAGGGTTACTGGGTGTGGCGGTCGGCCGTGACGGGATGCTCGCTCGTGGGGAAAAAAAAT